ACCACCGTGAATTGCTCCCAAGTCCAGTCCGCAGGGTAGCCGGCCTTATTGGCCAAGTGGTGTGGATGCTCCGGACTGGCGTCCATGAAGGTCCCGTGCATGCGGATGAACCTTCTCCAGTGGGTGTTGTAGAGGGCTACCACCATGCCGGGCTTGATGCCTCCGTAGTGACCCGTCGGAACGATCTGGAATCGCTCGTAAGTGAAGCCAGCCGGAAACTCGCTCGAAGCCGGAACGCTGGCGTCCATGAAAGTGTTGTGCAGCCTCAAGTAGCGACCCTCGGCTTTGTTGTACAGCCCGATGGTGTTGTCCGGAGCAGTGACCTGGTCCAGTTCAAGGCGACGCTTCTGTGTCGGCTACATAAGCCCTACTGCTAGGAGCGCTTCCGTTTCGGAAATCTCCACCTCCATGAATCGTGCCTTGGCCCAGTCCCGGTTGAATGCCTGGGCCGGCGCGGTGTTGGTGGCCACGCACGTGTGTCCTCTTGCTGGTGCTTACAGGGGAAATAAGACAGTGGGATCCCTTACAAAAACACCCTATCCGTTGAGCACCAGGACGTCCTTCCATCCACACAAAGCGATTCCACTTGGGATTGTGGAAGGCAACTTCGCCGTTCCCGGCGTCCACCACGGTGAAAAGCTCCCATTCCCATCCCGCTGGCCAATCAAGACCCTGGGGCCCGCTCGTGTCCATACCCGCACCGGAGTTCATCCTCATGGGCAACAATTCAGCACGAAACGTTCAAGTACAGCTTGAAGGTTGCTTATCAAAAGGGCCTATTTCATTTCCAGAGCAGTTAAGGGGTAGTTGCTTATTTCATTCTTCCAGAGCGGTTAAGGGGTACATGGTGTCTTCTGAAAAAGCTGGCAAACCTCCGCCCCCCTCGGTTTTCGTTTGTTTTGAAAGGGAAAGGGCTTCAGGCTTCGGGGTTAAGGGTTTAGGGTCAACGGATTTAATATTTAGGCGGCTTAGGGCTGAGGTCATGTTCTGGATCCCAAGCTGCCTCATGTAGCGACCCCAGTGCGGATTGCGCAAGCCGATGGTGGTGCC